ACCGTGAAGGAAACAGACCCCGGCCCAGTGTCGAGTGACTGGTGTGGGAGTGGGAGAGGCAGTGGGAAGGGGATGCTGGCCACTCAGATAAGGTGATCAGGATGACACTGACAGTCCAGCCATGACCCACGTTGTGAGAAGCCACCACACAAAGACCCGACAGGAGAGCTGCTGGAAGCAGGAACTGCAAGGAGGCGGGAATGAGCTTGTTGTCTGAGGGACAAAGTGGGCCGGCCCGAGAGAACAGGAAGGTCTGCAGGGAGGCTGGGTGTGGAGAGGTGGGCTGGGCTCCAGGGAGGAGGCTGTGTGCTCCTGTCACTGGTCACTGAACATGCCCAAGTAGAACTTGAAGGGCTTCTTATCTGTTCTGAAGAAGTGTTGATGAGGTAACCTATGAGGTCCCTGCCAGGTGAGATGCAGGGAGGCTACGACTGTAAGTCCAGCACACCTGGGACGTCCCACCATATGCCCACCCTACCTTGTCCTTCTGTACAGCAGCTGATTTAAAAAAAAATTGATTTAATTCTCACCCGAGGATATTTTTTCGTTGATTTTTCTTAGAGTGGGAGGGAAGGAGGAAGGGAGAAAGAGAGAAACATCAAGGTGAGATAGACACATTGATTGGTTGCCTCCTGCACAATCCTGACTGGGACCAAGGATCAAACCTAAAACCGAGGTATGTGCCCTTGACTGGGAATCGAACCCATGTGTCTTTGGTCCATAGGCCAACGCTCTAACTGCTGAACCAAACCGGCCAGGGCCAGTAGCTGATTTTGAAAAAGCAAAACAAAAACTGTCATGAGGGAGCCCGAGAGATGGTTCCAGAGCCCACTCCATTGACTTCAAGAGGAACTACTGAACTCGAGTTTTCTAGAGAAGAAAGAGCAAGCAATTGGCGTTCACTGTACCAGGAAAGAGTGCAAAAGGGCTTTCCATCTTCTTGCAATTGTTTCCAAAGAACTGAACACTCCCTCCCTCCCTTGCTTCCCTTCCCTTTGGAAAAGGGCTCCGCGTTTGAAAGGGGAAACAAAACAACTCTGGCCAGTTTATTCCTAGTTTTCAATCAATTGTATCATAGATTCCAGGGAAGAGTAACAAGTTGTTCTAAATATGAGAAGGCTCATCTGGAGCTACTTAAAAGAAAAAATCCAACTCCACCAACGGCTGTGGCTGTACACACCCCAACCACATGCCTGGAGGGACGGGAGTTCCAGCACCAGCGCCCGGGCCTTGCCAGCAGCAATTAGAATTAAGCTGTTCTTGCACGACAAGCCAGATCAACCACATCCTGAAGACAAGCCTCATTATCAGGTCCTGGCTTCTTGGAGCATGACTCTACGTGTCTCAAGAGGAGTCCTGAGACTGGTGAGGACTTTCCAGAGGTCTGCGTATAATTCCAAAGAATTATAGGAGAAGACAATACACATCTTCCCATTTCTGAGTCACCCAAATATTAAGTTCTTCCAATTCAGATCTCTGGCTAAAACTTCGGCCGTTTCCCTCTGTCTTCAGCAGAGAAGGCAAGCCCTCCATTCTTTGTTTCTCCCTACTGGATCCTAATTTTATTTGAGAAATAGCTTTTATTAAATATTTGGTTTTATTGAACATCTTTTTATATATTGTTGATTTGGTTTATTGTATTTGGTTTAGGACTTTTGCATCTATGATTAGGGGTGAGATTTGCATGTATCTTTTCTGTTGCTATTCTTGTTAGGGTTATACCAAACTCATTAAAGAATTCCTTCTTAAAAAAATGTTTTTATTGACTTTTTTAAGAAGAGAGGAAGGGGGAGAGAGAGAGAGAAATATCGATGTGAGAAACATCAATTGACTGCCTCTTGCACACCTCCTACTGGGGATTGAGCCTGCAACCCGGTAATGTGCCCTGACTGGGAATTGAACCAGCAACCTCTTGGTGCACAGGACAATGCACAACTGAGCCACAACAGCTAGGGAAAATTTTTGTTTTTTGTTTTAATCAGTCTTGCCAAAGATCTGTTTATTTGCTTCATTTTTAAAAGAAAGACCTAACTTGTGGCCTTGTTGATCCTGTTTATTACCTATTTTTTTTAGGTTTATGTTGCTGTTCTAAGTTCTTGAAACAGTTGCTTAGTCTTTCTTATAAGTAATAGATGTAAGAAATAAAATTTAAGTACTATTTTAGCTGCCTCTCACTTTGATACATAATATTTTTATTATTGTTCGGGTTACATTTTTGTTATAATTCCTTCTCAGACCTGAGTTAATTTCTAAACATATATGGATCTTCTAGTTATGTTTTAATTTTGGTTTCTAACTTGATTGCATTGTAGTTTGCACTGCATAACAATCTTTTTTTTTTTTTTTTTGTGGTACGTGCCCCTAGTGGGAACCGAATCTGGGACTCTCTGGTCCACAGGCCCATGCTCCAACCGCTGAGCCAAACTGGCCAGGGAATTTTTTTTGTTTTGTTTTATTTTGTTTTGCATAACAATCTTTAGAAATTTGCTGAGATTCACTCCCTTGCCCAGCATGTGGTCAATTTTTTAAAAAGTTCCATGTGCTTAAAATAAATAAATAAATAAATAAATAAATAAATAAATAAATAAAAAGCAGGTGTTAGACAGTGTTCTACAGATGTCCATTATACTGAAATTATTAAATGTTTAAATCTTTTATATACTCACTTTTTTGATCTATCAATAACTGAGATGTTAAAATCTTCCACTACTAGATTACTTATTTTTCCATATAGTTATCAGTTTTTGTTTTATGTATTTTGAGGTAATGTTATTAGATACATACTAATTAAGAATCTTTGTAGTTTTCTGGAGAATCAAGTAAACATGAAATTATGCATTGATTCTCTCTAGCAATGCTGTTGATTTGAAAACCTATTTCCAGGACCACTGAGGTGCACAACTCCAGGAAGGTTGTGAACAGCACACCCTGGGCCTAGTCTGCTTGGTATTTCAGAGAGGCCTTAATTTTGCTGGTTTTCATTACAGTTACACCAGATTTAATTTGGTTGGTTTATGCTTGATTTATCTTTCTTATCCTTTGTTATATCCTAAATTGCTGTCTCTTGTCAGCTTACGGCTGAATCTCTCTTAAAAGTCCAGTTGGACAGCCAGGGCTGGTTTGCTCAGTGGTTAGAGTGTCGGCCCGTGGACTAGAGAGTCCCAGGTTCCATTTCCGCTAAGGGCACGTACCTCGGTTGCAGTTTGTCCCCAGCCCCGGTTGGGGTCGTATGGGTGGCAGCTACTCCATGTGTCTCTCTCACATCAATGTTTCCCTCTTTCCCTCCCGCTCTGAAATAAATGCAAAAATGTCCACGGGTGAGCATTAAAAAAAAAAAATCCAGTTGGACAATTTGCCTTTTTTTCCTGGAACATATAACCTATTTATGTATACTGTACTTACTGACACATTTAGATTCCTACTATCTTATCTTGGATATTTTGCATTTTTCTTCCTCTCACCTATCTTTTATGGATTATAGACTTGCTTAGAAACTACATTCTGTTTATTTTTTTTAATCCTCACCCGAGGGTATTTTTCTATTTTATCTTCAGATAGAGTGAGAGGAAGGGAGAGAAACATCAGCGTGAGAGGGATATATCGACTGGCTGCCTTCCCCACGACCCCGACCAGGGCTGGGAATGAACCACAACAGAGGTACGTGCCCTTGGTCGGAATCGAACCCGCGACTCTTTGCTCTGCAGGCAGACATTCTACCACTGAGCCAAACTGGCCAGGGCCATCCTGTTTATTTTTTAGTAGTTAATTTAGAAATTTTTAGCACATGTACTTAACATACCAAAGTCTAAAGTTAATCAATATACTTACCTTCCTCCTGTAGGACATAAGGACTTTGAGATGTTTATTCCAATCACCTCCCTCCCTAATTATCTATTTTCACATATTTCAGTTTTACCATTTTTATAACTCTATACTCACCTACAGTCACTTTGTTTAGATGATATATGTATTTACCACTTTCTTCGATCTACATCTTTTGCTGCATTTCAGACCTTCCACATGGGATCATTTCCCTTCTGTTTGTGCAACAGATTTTGAATTAAAATGTCTTTCACCCTTGTTCTTGAAAGAGTTTCACTGAATACAAAGTTCTAAGTTCACAGTTAACTTTTCACAGCACTTTGAAAATATATTTCATTGTCTTCTGGCTTATACAGTTGTTGGGAGAGAAGTTAGCTGTCAACTGAATTGTCTTTTCTTTGGAGGTAATCAGTCTTTTCTTCTTGGATGCTTCTAAGATCTAAGGTTTCACTAGGATGTGTCTAGACATCGATTTCTTTATCCAGCTTGGAACAGGATACTAGAATATTACAAACACTCTGATTAAAGCTTGAGTCTTTAGTGTTATCTTGGAAAGTGCTGATTTAGACAATATGCTCTGCTAGGACTTAGAAGACTCTTGGTTAGTCAGAAAGGTGGGGGGCTCAGGCACTGATGGAAGTATTGATTAGGGTGCTATCCATATTTGCTTTCAGTAAAAGGAAGGCCCAGTCTCAGTAAAATACATAATCTCCAGCACATTCTAAGGCTGAACCAAGCAGAGCCTCCCTTCCCATCCTTGTAGGGACTCTGGATCTGGGTGAAAGAATGGCTAATGGTGGGGTGCAGGCCCTCCTAGATGTGGTGCTTGGAAGCCCTCTGCAGGAGCCAATGAGGATCGGTACAGGCTGGGAAGTAGGGGTGCAAGCCCTCTGCAGGAGCCAGTGAGGATCGGTACAGGCTGGGAAGTAGGGGTGCAAGCCCTCTGCAGGAGCCAGTGAGGATGGGTACAGGCTGGGAAGTAGGGGTGCAAGCCCTCTGCAGGAGCCAGTGAGGATGGGTACAGGCTGGGAAGGAGCATAAGTCCCAGAGACAAGCTGAAGCAGGAAAGCCCTGAACCATTTTGCTCTGTTTTCACTTTGTAGAACATGCGTCACCCGGTTGCTTTCCTTTGTAGCTAAATAAAGAAATACTTCTTAGGATCAAATAAGCCAATTTACTCTCATTTAACAAAGTGTTTTATTCAAAAGCTTCTCAGCACCATCTAGTTGTCAGAAAGAATGGGTATCACCTTTTCCTGCCCACCCAACTCCCAAATCCAGAGGCAGAAATTAAACCACTTGGCTAGAGCACCTCCTAATAATTGTAATTCAGATCATGATAAGGTCTGGGTTATCCTTTCACCCCACTTCCTCCAAGCCTCTACTTAACCCTGACTCAAGTAGAGCTGTCAGAACAACAGGAAGGAATCATGTTGGACTTGATCAATCTCCCATTCCTGGGCTCTCAGAGGTGCATAAAATTACCTCGAAAGAACTGGATTCAGTGACTGCCATCCAGGAAGGACACTGATACTGCCAGGCAGCATGCAGTTTCGAGAGCTCGAATCGTAAGGTAACCCTCCCCCCAACTCTACTCTAGGAATAAGCACAGGTCTGCTCTCCACACTCCCCAATTGCTCATCCTCTCCTGTCTCACTGAAACAGACACTGAGCCAAACCTTCTCTAGACAGAGTTAAGAAACAAGTACAGCTGATTAAAATGCTGAGAGATCCTGAGCTGTTGGAGATGAGGAGATTAGATAGGGTGACCTGATTTTTCCCTTTTATTTTCTTTAAGAATATTTTGTTTCAACATAAAGCACGCTTCCCCGAGAGGTTCCTGGAGGAGAAATCCAAGACTATGACTGTGTCCTGTCATAGTCACAGTCACCTGTGTAACTTTGGCTTCAGTTCCTGGATCTGTCCTTTGCAGCTACTCCAGGTCCCACGGGAGGAGGCAAGAACTGGAGGCAGTGTCACTTGGCCAAAGCCCCCATGGGGTCCCACGCTGGCAGGACAATGGGCTCCTGATCTAACACAGCTAGCACCTCTTCAGGGACATGTTTCCTGTCCACCACCACTTCGTAGACATATTCCGAGAACCACTCGTCAGTCATGCACAGGTAACCTGCAGGAAAGAACAGCCTCATGAGTCCAGAGGGCAAGGGCCAAGGAGCAGAAACCCTATGGACACTATAAAGATGCCTTTTTACAAAACTAGCATTTGTACATTTTTTTTTGCTTTTCCATCTGTAATCTCACTGAGTCTAAGTCTTATTAGCAGTTCTGGGAAGCACACGGCACAGGCATGGCTACCTTCTTACCAATTAGAAATCTGGGGCTCAGCGTAAACAAGTGAGGTGCCACCACACAGGTGAGGCCCAGAGCTAGGCTTGGACCAAAGGCACCTGCAGATCCTGTGCCGTTACACTGTCCTGGCTGCCTCCTTGAAGGTGACTGGATGACCCCAGAGTTAGGTGGAAATGCTTCTGTTCATACAGCCGTACCAAGGGGGTTCGTCTCCAGGGTTAGAAGGGGAAGCACTCAGGTTCCACTCTTACTCTGCCCACCTCCTCAGCCCTGGCTGCTCTCCTTCCTTCCTCTCTATCCTACAGCCAAGGAAGCTGCTGGGGGAATCCTGAGGGTGCCTCGTCATCATTCCCAAGTAGCCACTCATTTGCAGATGATACTACGTGAATCAAATGATAACAGTCCTCGCTCTCCTGGGAGGAAACCTGTGACGAGGAGCAGGCAGAACTGGAAGACCGAGACAGCTGCTTGGCTGGTTTATGGGTCTCTCCAGTGGGCAGGTCCATAGGCACAGCCGAACTAACAACCCAGGTTGAGCTCAGCTGAGAGAGTGTAGTGTCCTCACGCATCCAGCTTGGAGTCTTAAGAAGATCGGCTTGTATCTCAGGTTCCACTAAGACAACACAAGCTCCCCTTCAGGAACACACTTCCAACACACTTAAATGAGGGGAAATGCTGCACCTGAGCCATTGTTAATATAGAGCAAAACTAAAGTGAGAGACGAAAGTGCGGGTATTTAAAACAAGACCGGACCCCGGCTGGTTTGGCTCAGAGGTTAGAGCATTGGCCTGCGGTCCAGAGAGACCTGGGTTCGGTTCCCACTTAGGGCATGTACCTCAGCTGCAGTTTGTCCCCAGCCCTGGTTGGGTCATGCAGGTGGCAGCCACTCGATGTGTCCCTTTCATGTCGATGTTTCTCTCTCTCTCTCTCTCTCTCTCTCTCTCTCTCTCTCTCTCTTTCCCCTGCTCTATCTGAATAAAAAATGGAAAAATGTCCTCAGGTGAGGATAAAAATAAATAAATAAAACAAGACCAGGCCAGGGAGCCAGCACAGAGCACAAACATGCACCTACCCAGGACACCGCATGCACCGCCCACCCGGGCCCACAGGAGCCACCGGTACCAGCACTGGCATCGTCCTTTCTGGCACCTGCTCTATACCAGACACGAGCCAATTTTCTCTGGAAGTACTTGTGCAAATCTAGGCCTGTGCTGTATCATTTCTCACTCCACAGGACCGAGGAGAGGATGCAGGTATCACTCCGAAGGCGGCCCTCCTAGTGCCGCAGTTCTTGAACTTCATGGGCCCAGGACCAGACTGTACATTGAGAACCCAGAAGTTGTTTATGTGGGTTACAGCTACTGATGTTTATTGTAATAGAAATTAAAACAAAGTTTAAAATACTAATGCATATAAAAATAAAAATTTAAAACCCACAAATATAAATGATACATTCTTAGGAAAAAATAATTGTATTTCCCCAAACAAAATAAACTTCAGTTAGAAAAGTGATACTGTTACAAATTCAATGTCTGGCTCACAGCAGAGGCTGGGCTCTCGCATTTGCCTCCTGTGTTCAATCTGTTCTTTTGGTGGAAGCAGACGGAGAAAACCTAACCTCAGACAGAGGCGAGGGAAGACCTTGCAGACCTCCTTAAAGGGTCCTCAGACTGCACTCCAAGAACTGCTGCTCTAAAAGCAAGACTATTATTATTATTTTAAATTATTATTATTATTAAATCCTCACCCAATGATACTCCTCCATTTATCTTCAGATAGAGTGGGAGGGGCAGAGAGAGAGAAACATCGATGTGAGAGGGACACATCAACTGGGTGCCTCCCCCACATGACCCCGACCAGGTCCAGGGATGAACTGCAACCGAGGCACGTGCCCCTGACTGGAACTGAACCCTCAACTCCTTGGTCCATAGGCCAATGCTCCAATCATTGAGCCAAACTGGCCAGGGCTATTTTAAATTATTAAAAGCAACAAGGGCCCTGGCCGGTTTGGCTCAGCAGTTAGAGCATCGACCTGCGGTCCAAAGAGACCCAGGCATGTACCTCAGTTGCAGTTTGTCCCAGACCCCGGTTGGGTCGTGCAGAGGCAGCCACTCCATGTGTCTCTCTCACATCAATGTTTCTCTCTCTCTCTTCCTCTCTCTCACTCCCACTCTATCTGAACAAAAAATGGAAAAATGTCCTCGGATGAGGTTAAAAATAAAAGCAACACAATAGTAAGTCTGATTTTGTGAGCTAAATGGTGTGACAGAGGACATTATTTAACTGAAAACACAACTGCTTTGTGAGGTCATCTATGCCCAGGCCTGCTCCTGACCTGTGACAGAAGTCAAAGCCCAGCATGTTTACCCTCCCCAGAAAACGCCCTGGAAAGTGCTCAGGGAAGGACTCTGACCCAGCCAGCTGAGGGAATGCAGCCTGTTCCCTGATGCCGGCCCCTGACCCAGGCTCCTTGGCTCAGCGAGAGGTACAGGGCAGGAGAGCACAGACACACTGTAGCCCGAGCTGTTTCTGGTTTCTGTCTTCAAGGTATCTTTTCTCTCTTCAAATCTTCCAGAGGCCCTGGCTTTGCTGGTGTCAGTCAGTCAGGACCTGGCCCTTACTTACCATCACCTGTATTCTTGCCACTGAGTTCTAGCATCCAGAGCATGGTCAGCTGACGGGCCAACCAGCACCATTTCTTGCTGCATCCTAAATAACTGCTGAGAAACTCAATATCTACCTTCCCACAAAGGAACCTCCAGTGGGCAGCAGACCAAATTACTAAACACTACACCGTTGAGACATGAGTCATCCTTCCCCTTACCATAATGCAGGCCGAATGAACCCTCAGAGTAGCACTGGACAGTGAGGCAGGTGAAGGACGGAGGCAGAGTCATGTAATAAAGTTCTGTGTCCTTATGACAATACTATCACCACACAATCAAATGAGTCTCCAAAGAATGCACAGAGAAAACGGATAGTAGTACATCTACACATCTTGTTCCAAAAGCAGATCAGATTAAGTCCTCACAAATTAAAACTCCTATCAATCGCAATCCACCCTTTCAGTGTCCCTGCCAAGAGGACCTGTTGTGATTAGTCTCTCTCTTCAGGATATGAGTTCTCTGGGGGCCCACAAAAACCTCACAGTCTAGGGGCTGCCAAGTAATTGCAGTCCGAGTAGATAACGAACTTGTGACTGCTGTAACTGTTGATACTGCGTGTCTTGGAGTTTGAGAAGATTAGGATCAGTGTGTCTGAAAGCCAAGTGAGTAAGGGTAAGGGAGCAGCCAAGTCCCCACTCGGCAGCTTTAAAGGGGCCATTCTGTTGGAGGAAAGATGCAGCTTCCAGCCCGTGAATCCTCTGGCCATTAGAAAAAATGTTCCCCGAGGAAAAGGGAAAAGAAAAGGAAAACCTGCTGCAGGGATTCCAAAGTTACATTTAGGGAAACAAATAGATAAATGGATAAAGTAAGTCAGCCTTAGGAACTAAGGTAAAATTAAATTTTACCTGAACTTTAATGTCTTGTTTACATGCAATGAAAAAGAAATTGAGTAAGTAAACAGTCCCGCAAAGAAACCGGCAATGTTTCTGTGTTGTTAAGAGAAAGGGCGGTGCCGGTCTGCAACGGGCAACAGTCTGAGAACAGAGCTCCAGGATGGTCAGGCCACACCCACTCGACAGCAGAAGGTTTCGAATGGGTTAGTGCAAGGGAAGGTTTAACCTTGGGCTCCCCGCAGATTTCCTTTTCCAGTGGGGGCTGCCTTTTTCTAATGACCAGAGGGCTCGAAGATACAACTTTCCTCAAACCAAAGTGGCCACTTTACCGGAGAAAACTGTTTTCTGAAATCCTACCGAGATCTAAGACTAGATCAAGGTGACGTATATATTACCACTTATAAATTAGAGGTATTTTATATTTTTTTCTGACTTTGTTCTATGAAGCATTTCACCTCACTAATAAACTATTTGTGGTTAATTTTTTGTTGTTGCTGTTTTGAAAACAGAGTGTGATGAAATTTTGTCACCTGTTCTGCTTGGATGGGTCTGTCTGGCACCATGGACTTCAGAAAGCTGGACTACTGAGGCCTCATCAAATCACTGCGAACCTTACGCCTGATGATGATAACTCCAGTCTGAAGAAAGTTTCCAGAAGAGAAAGCAGAAACCTCGCTCACACTTGTGTCACATTTCACACTTCCTAATAATGAGTGAGAAGCCACTCCACAGAACATTAGTCATTTAAACTGAAATTGCAAAGACTACGTAGTAACATGGAAAAATGTTTCAACGTGATCCAAGTGAAGTATATAAAATGGTATATCCTGTATGATTGATTACAACTATGTTACAAATTAAGATATACGGGATGGAGAGGGGGGTTTGAGAAAAACATAAATAAAATGTTAATTTTATACCATAGGGCAGGTGATCCCCCCCCCTAAATTTCTTAAATGTTGCATAGCTTTTTGAGTCCTCAAAGATTAGTCAAATAACTCATGCTCATTATAAATAATTTTGGAAACACAGGAGAAGATGAGGGAGAGAAGGAAGAAGAGGAGAAGAAAGGGGAGGATTAAGAGAAGACAAATATAAATTTTAAAAGTGTCTACAATCCCATCACCTTGGGACAAGACCTCTTCCAGTTTTACATAGATCTTGGGTAGTATCTACATGTAGACTCTATACATTTAATAAAATCGAGATATCATACATGCTCTTTTGTGTTGTTGTTGTTAATCCTCACCCGAGGATATTTTTCCATTGTTTTTTTTTTTTATCCTCACCCAAGGACATTTTTTCATTTTTTTTTGTTG